GCAAATCCCATTATGGTTAGTCTATCTAAATCCGGCAAAAGTTCGTATCCGTAAGCCATTTGAACTTCTTTTTCACTTAGTTTATTTAAAATGAAATCTGTGTACAAATTGTACAGCGTAGGGGATAAAGGTGCTCCTTGTAGTAACCCTCGTTTGAAGGGAATCGCTTTTGTTTTACTTCCACCAGTTTCAATAATAGTTTGGTTGTCTAACTGAAGATTTGCTGTCAAGGTTTTTAACTTCCTAAGAATGTTATGTGATTCTAGCGTTTTAACTAGGTGTTCGTGTCCAACACAATCATAAGCTTTGTTAATATCTAGAAAAGAAAAACGGAAAAACCAATGAAACGTCTTTTTCCTCTGTCTTAGCTTTTGTTAAAATTGAGTTCACTATTTCTACATTAATTGTTGTTCCTGGTGTACTAGTGGTTTGGTGGTGGCTCTTTGGTTTGGGTTAAAATGTATATGACCTCTCAGTCTTTTGTCTAGAACTCTTTCAACACTACTTCGTAAGACAGAGCAAATAGATTAAATTCCATGTTGATGGCCCCTGGATTACTTTATATGACTATAATAATGGTACAATACCTCGTCAAGTAGTCCAAATGATGATTGAGGTTAGCAATTAACCTACATGTTTCGCCGTAAATACGGCATCGTCAGGGTTACAAAAACGAAGACATCGATGTCACACGCACACAATAAATACACGAATATAAACATTTAATTACGGAGAGTAAACATTTAATTAACATTGATAGGCCTATCACACGTACACGACACGGACGGTCCCGGCGCAGGTAGTAGACTGCAGTTTCAGACTCCTTCGTCGCTGTTGTCCATGTTATCAGTAGGACAAAGGTCAGGTGGCCGGTTATTTTGGTGAATTAGCACATTGAAAATAGAGTGTGATTGGAATTGTAGTTTTTCATTGAGGATATGTCCACTGGCGGTGTTGTCATGGTACAATTTGTAAATTTCAAATTCCTCTAACGTGTTTAGTTTACTACCTTTCCTGCATTTATGTAGCACCTCAAGACCGTCAGCAATCTCACTCATGTTATGATTTAGGTCGATTAAATGCTGGGCAAACGCTGAATTCTGTTTGATTAAACGTGGTTTGGGCCTGTGTTCGTTGTAGCGAGTAGTGAACCCACGACCTGTTTGCCCAACATATTGGCTCGGACAATCTTGGCATTTGATTTTATAAACACCTGTCATTTCCATTTTATCTCTTGATCGGTCAGTTTGTGACAGGGTGTTACGAGTACGGTTTGTAGTTTTGAATGTCAATTCGATTCCCTGCCTACGAAGCTCTTTGGATAGGCAATTTTGTAGTGTGTGGGAATATTCAATACATACGTACTTCTTACGTTCGTCCTTTTGTTTGACCTCTCTATTATGGTGTTTGATTATAAGTTTGTCTATAAGCCCGCTATTATAGCCGTTGGATATGGCTATATGTTTGATGATATTGTATTCATTATTGTAATTTGTGGGACTTAAAGGGACCGTTAGAAGTCTGTGTACCATTGAGTTGTATGCTGCAATTTTTTAGAATGTGGATGATAGGAGGTCGCGTGAATGGTCTGAACTGAAAAGGTGGGTTTCCTGTAGATTTTATAATCGAATTTATTGTTAATTTTAGTTACGGTTAAATCTAGGAAATGTATTGCGTTGTCTTTTTCTGTTTCTAAGGTGAACTTTAGTCTCGGGGCTATTTTGTTTAGATAATTTAAGAGTAGATCCAACTGCCTTTTACTGCCATCAAACAAGACAATGGTATCATCGACATATCTATTGTATAACACTATTTAAGAATGATATTTGTTCTTGTCAGATAAAATGTACTCATTTTCAATGTAATTTAAGTATATGTCAGATAAAATTCCAGAGAATGGGGAGCCCATTGCCAGACCATCAGTTTGAGAATAATATTTCCCATTAAATGCAAAATAGTTTTGTCTCAAAATCTCTCTTAATAGGTCAATAATCTCTTTTATTGCCTCTGGTAACATAGTTGATTTGTTTGTTAGGTTTGTTTGTATTATATCTATGGTTTTTTCTATGGGCACATTCGTGTATAAATTCACTATGTCGAATGAGGCAAGCAAATGGTGGTTTTGTATGTGCCAATCTTTAGTTTTGTCAATGAAATCATAGGAATTCCTTAGGCTGTGGTTGTTGTCCACAGTAAAGTGTTATTCACTGATAATGATATTCGCTATCTACGTATCATGAACCCATCAGCCCCGATACTACGGGGGCTTCCTAAGGTACATAAAACAGGCGTTCCCATCAGGCCACTAGTCGACTACACAAATGCACCCACATACAATATCGCTAAACGACTAGAAAGAATCCTAAAGGATAACATAGTGTTAGACAATTATTTCTTCAAAGTCTTCTTCTTCATTAAAAGTAGTTGATTGTGTGTTTTCGTAGTGATCTCTAACAGATGTATTTTGCTTAGCAAAACGATTGTGGAACTCCTTGTAATTTTATTTATTGCTTTTGTTAATTTTTACTTTGTATGGTAAACGTCATCATTCTAATAATTGATTTAAAACAATAGCTTACATAGAAGCTGTAACTAAATAACATTGTAAATAGGATTTAAATTTTAAGGATTTTAGGATTTTAATGTTTAACAAATAATAAATCATAGAGTAAATACGTAGAAGAGACGGAAGAAAACTACAATTATAGGCCCAATACTTAATATGTTCAATGTACCGTAAAAGGTTTTAATAAATATTTTTTTATTGACACGAAAGTCTCGTATAATTCTTTCCTTCTTTTCATACAGATCAGTGTTGTCAGATATAAAGCCGGGTTTACACGCTCCAATAAAACATAAACGACTTGTCTGCAACGACTAATCATAGGTTGAGCGGACCATTTACACGTTCCGTCTTTTTCTCTAACTTTGGCTCTCAAACCACCCTCAGATGTATCTTGTTGTGAAGTAGTTAATAGGCTCCCTGTATATTTGACGATGGATGAGTTATTGTTATGGTCTGTTTACATTATTTCTGTTGCAACAAGTTTTAAGAGGAAAATAAAACCTAGAAGTAAGTGGTGTCGGCATTGGCTACTGAAAAAACAGTTATCTCATGTGGAGTTGCTAAAGGAGTTGAGGAACGAATCCTCTGACTGTAGGAACTGCTTAAGGATGACTGAGGATACCTACAACGATTTATTGAACATGGTTTCTCCACATATAAAAAAAACACCATAATTAGAAAGGCAGAATCTCCCCATGAAAGACTCAGTGCAACTTTACGATTCCTTGCAACTGGTAGAAGTTTCAAAGACTTGGAATTCACAACATTCATTTCTAAAACATCCCTCTGCAAAATAATACCTGAAACATGCAAGTTGATGACAACTGCCCTGTCTGCAGACGGGTTAATTTCTTTATATTTGTTGATTAATTCCACATTGGCCTTAACTCTATTAAAAAGTCACGAGAGGCTTGACTTACGTCTGACATAGTGACAAATGTGACACAAAACAGTAAAAATAAACTACACTACTCTACACAGTCCAAATATACCACAGCGGTTAAAACAACAGTACTACACAGTACAATTACACAACAGTTAACTGGACCAACGCGACATCGGAGGGTCTACAGGCTGCAACGATGACCGAGTCACCGTTTACACGCAACGACTTGTCGCTACGATCTTCAGAAAATCGCTACGATCTAAAGAAATTGGTGTAAATTTCCACCAACCTTCCAACCTCACTCCAACTCAGACAAAACGTAACGACTACCAGTTTACACGTTCCGTCTTGCATGAACGTTTTGTCGTTGCAGACAAATCGTTACGTTTTATCGTAGCGTGTAAACCCGGCTTAAAACATCTAAATTAATAGATAATTTGCGTGCTTGTTCCAATCCTCCGCAGCGCGAGCGTTCAGTGGTGTAGCGTAGCAGTAGTTTGTTGCAGTAGCCATCCAGCCATCCCATGCGGGCCACTTCGAACGCCGCGGCCTAAAGGTGGCCGTGGTGCAACCCAGTAGGGTAGTAAATTTCCTACTCTTTCCTCAAATAGTCAATCAGTAAAATAATATGCATAGGTTTTCTTTGAAGACTCGAGGGCAGAGCCTCGATTTGTATACAGCAATGGTCTAACTTATCTCTGTGGTCTACTCATCTCTACTAATCGTAACTTAGGCCTTCTTATTTCCTAAAATCAATAGACTAAATAAAATAACCTCTTAGTTCTAAAGACTAGTTTTATATCAATCCAGCTTTTAGTTCAAAGAAATTATATTGCAGTAACTTAAAACAAACACAAAATTTTTAAGACTGCTCTAAAAAAGAAATTGTAACATCTCGTATTTTACTATGTAGGCTATAGCCTATTTTTAATAATCTGTCGTCCTCTTACTAAATAAATTAACTTATAAATGACTCACTGGCCACCATTTTGGATATCTAGAAAACTCTCTCTTCCTTAGTTGAAAATGCTGTCAGTGACAGTGAAATATTCTAATGTTTTGTGTATATAGTGTAAAGTTTTGTGTTTCCTGTGCCAGTTTGGACTCTTTCCCATTCAGGTAAGCCTGCTATCCTCTCAAAAAATCCTAAAAATCTAGGCCCTTGTGCTCTATGCTTCACCCTTAACTTATAAATGATTATAGCATTAGACATAGTATAAATAAGTCAACCCTATGTAGGCCTATGTCATTTCATTTTTATCCAAATGCTGACTGAATTTTCATCACAAACGCTGAATGTTTATAGCTGGTTATGTTAATGAACTAGCTTTTAGTATGTTATAAATCTGAAATATTTATAAATATTTCAGTTGAGTTAAACATATAATCAGGTTAGGTTTGAAGAAGTTTTCAAGGTTATAGCAGCCCCCCTTTTCAACTGGCTGGATCTGCCCATGGTTGGGGTTTTAAGTTTTAATCCCTTTACTCGAAGAAGAAGTCTAACCTCTGACTAATATGTAAGTTATTGATTTTTGTGTGATTTTACAGAGCTTGCAGAGGATGAGGAACAGTTCAGTTTCAAGATAGTGTTTCATGGACCCGGCAACCGCAGCTATGTGCTTGGTGCAGAGACTCAAGAGTCCATGGAGCAATGGATGAAAGCTCTGGCGTGTGCTAGCTACGACTATATGAAACTAATGGTTGCTGATCTGCAGAGACAGCTGGACGAGATGGAAGGTATTTCTCCAACATAAGCCTGTCAAAATTAACCTCTTGAATCCCGGCTTTTGTTAGTACTGGCCTTACCCCCAACCCGGGTTTATTTAGTGAATTCGCAGACATTGTTTAAAAAATTTATAAAAAATCTAGGAATTGAGCAATTACAACAATGTTTATACTTATTTTGTTCAGAATAAACAGTAGAATCTGAAAATAATATAAAAAAAACATGGTAAAACATTTATAACATTTTTTTATACATGCAATATCTATATATATATATAAAAAAATTTTAAAAGTAAGCTCACAGTAAAAATAAGCAAAACACTTTTTGGACTAATAGTTATACCAATTATGTAGAGAATTTAATTCCCTACATAGAAATAGGTATATAGGGTACATGTTGAATTTTATATCGGTACTTTTTTATAAACTGCAATATAAAACGCCGTAAACGACACAAAACTGATTTTTTGCAGCCTTTTGAGAAAATTTGCAAATAAGTGTATGTAGTATGCAATAAACCAACAATAAACAAACAATATTGATAAATCTTTACTCTTTAGGTACCTAAGTATAAGTACAGATTATAAATCCCAATGAAAATAACATTAGTGTAGAACTATCTTACCTGTCAGAACTGCTGTAGCGTGTGGAAGTCTTGCATGCATGGATGGATACACAGAGGGGTGTTACATGGAGCACACATGTAATAGGTATCCTGCCGTTTTTGGGGCCTCCTCTTGGTGTGCATAGGCCTACAAACATGGCATTTTCTTCTTGGGCGAGGATTTCCAGCAATTGCAGGGATGGGCTCCAAAAAGTGCCTTTGCGTCAGGCGAAGTGGTGTTTCGCCAGACGATGGTCGACCACCTTGTGGTTTGATTCTTGTAGGGCAATAGACCTGAAGAATTTCTCTAACAAGCTCCTTCCTGAAGTCGGAGAGGTGGGGTTTCTTGCCTGTTTTTATCTTTTTTTAAATGTGGGCATTTCTTATGGATACGTCTAGAAGGTGAAAAAATAATTTTTTATACCATTTGATGGTTTTTCTTGCTGTGACATTGAAGGACAACTCCATGTCCCCAATGTCAACAGCACCCATGTTCTTATTATAATCTAAAACACTTTTTGGCTTAGTTATTTTAGATCCAGTTTCCCAGTTGGTTTTACCAGTTTCTTCTAGTCCATATGTATGCATCGTGGTCAAAACCCTCACCTCCCGCTTGTCCTGCTATCTTTCGTACATCATCACCTCCGTGTGGTGTACGTCAACCTGGCCAGTTTTAACATTGGATAACTTCTTAGGCAAACCTTGCCTATCTGGCAATACAGTACCACACTTGTTTATTTTGTGTTTATACAGTTCCATTGCTAGGCTAGGGCTGACGTACCAATTGTCAAGGTAAACCTTATGACCAAGGCCAAAAAAAGGCTCCAAGAGGGTGAGCACAACTTGCCCTGTAATCCCTATACCTTCTATGCCATGGAAGTTCAAACGTGTTTCAGCTCCAACGTAAGGCAAAATGTGAATAACCATGCTAGTCTCACAGTCAGACAAAACAAAGAGCTTAATTCCAAACCTGGCCCTTTTTTTGGGAATGTATTGCCGGAAGGCCAACTTTCCTTTGTACAGGAAAAGAGTTTCGTCTATAGCCAGCTTCTCTAATGGAGTAAACGTATCTGCAAACTGTTTGTTCAAAGAACACAAGATTGGATTGATTTTATGTAGTCTACCAAGTGATGTTTGGTTAGTAACAACGGAGTTATTAAAATGTAACATCCGCAAAATAGCCTGGAACCTATTCCTTGGCATAACCTCTCTGAATATTTTTGTCTCTATAAGGCTATCTGATGACCAGTACTCTCTAATTTCATTCTTTCGTACGTGGGACATAAGTATACATAAAGCAAGGAAACTCAAGATTTCATTCCTATTTGTAGGTTTCCAGTTTGAGATTTCACTTTGTGAAACGTTAGGTAAGCGTGAGACTACTTCAGTAAAGTAAAGGTTTGTTTGATCAACAATATGATCCACTAAATCCAAGGTAAATAGCTCCAAAAAAAACTTGAGATTGGACGATGTTTCGTCAAGACCACTGTCATTGTTTACTCCAGTATTGGAGCTGTCAAAATCAAAAAGGTTAGGTGAAAAATTTTTGTCATTTACCCATGGAAAAGTAATTGGAGGTTTTTTAAGGGTTTTAGTTTTCCTCTTTTTCGAGGGCCTAGTATCCTTATCTCTAGCACTGTTAGAGGAATTAGCGGTGTGTTCATTCCGCTTTTGAGTAGGCCTAGGCCTAGGTTTATGTGAACCATCACCACTGGGACCGGGGAGAACATCTAAGTTTATAATAGGCCTATCAGGGATATCATTATTACTGGTACTAGGAATGGTTGGATCATTTTCAACACTAATGTCTAAATATGGTACACTTTCAGTGCTGGCACTGGTAATAATATCATTAGGATGTACATCAATATCACGATCAATATTACTCACTGGCGTATTCGAGAGTGAAGTATCGAAAACATCCTCCATTGACGGTCCGATGTCACACAATACATCCAATTCGTCGTACAATTCATCGTCGAAATCTATTCCGGAAACATCACTAAGGTTGTCATTCCCTAAATATTCACATATTTCTTCATCTTGAAGTGATTTACCCGCACGATTCGACATTGTTTACAGAAAACTCATAACAGAGCACGGCAACAAGCTAGTAAATAAACAGCAGCGAATGATCACACAGCTGACAAATGAGAGCTGACTTCGAAAGATCGCTGCAGTGATGCCGTTGGGAATATCGAAAAACGAAATATACCACAAGAAAGAGCAGGTTATTGCCAACACGGCAGTACTAAACAAGGCAACCTTTCTTCTTCTTCGGTTTGCTTACCAAGCGCGGCAAATTCAAACTACACTAGGACGCGCCGGCGCGTCAGTGGGCTGGTAGCAGGGCTACCGGCCTGACGCGCGGGCGTGTTCGTGGGATTCAAGAGGTTAACATTAGTTATTGTTATAGTTTGTTACATGGGAAAAGATAAGAAAGTTAAAGTCGGCAAAGTAGTTTTAAGTGGGCGATAGCCTTAGTAGATGATCTCATTTAAATATTTTTTTCCTGACTTGCTAGCTAAATAGCTTAACTGTTGGGTTCCACTTTTGTGTTTATGAGTTGGAGTGAATGTAATGTTTTTTTTAAGCTGTATTTATAATTTTTTTTAAGATGGAGAACTTGGGACAATATTGTAGTAGCCTATTTTCAATTTTTAACATAAAAGTTAAGTTCTCTTATTTGTATATCAAAATGATAAAGATTTCAGAAATAAAATAGCACCTATTCTACGAGGGCTCTGACGCCACCAAGCGTGTGTCTATCTTGTACATTTTGGTGCGTGCACACTCGGCAACTCAGTCAGCGTCAAATCGTGACAACGGGAACATCTCCACGCTGCCCGCTTATTCAGAATTTCAACTGAAGATGTGCTCTGCGATTGAAAATCCTGCCAGTTGTAAGGTGCAGTCAGTGATACGATTTTTTTGGAAAAAACTTAAAACTGATATACATTTATTGCCAAGTATGTGAAGTTTACTGAAACAACGTAATAAATGAAAGTTCCGTGCATTCAGTTTAAAAATGGCCGAACTGACGTTCATGACAAAGCGAAGAGCGGACGCCTGAGCATTAAATTGGTTGCTAAAGTTGATGTAAAGGTTCGCGAAAACCGCCGATTCACGATAACGGAGCTTTTGCTTTGTTTCCCACAAGTTTCACGGACTTTGTTGTTTGAAATTGTCACACAAATTTTATCCATGATGGGTGCTGAAAATGCTCAATGACCACCATAAAGCTCAGCGAATGGGATAGCTTTGACATATCTGGATGCCTTAGACAGACATGGTGATTCACTACTGGATCGCATCATAACTGGTGATGAGACATGGATAAAACATGCAAGTTGCGAAACTAAATTACAGTTCATAGAGTGTGGGCCCACAAGCCCCCTAAAAAACCAAGAAAATATTTGCAAACATTGTCAGCAAGGAAGATTATGGCGACGGTGTTTTGGGACAGGCAAGGTGTGCTTCATATTGACTGTCTTGAACAATTTTAAACTTTAAGCGGTACTGTAAAACTTTGCCCAACCGTAGGAGAGCAGTTCAAAACAAGCGACAAGGGAAATTGATGTTGAAAATTTTGTTTGTGCAAGACAATGCCCATCCTAACACAGCAAACAGCACCAATAAACTCCTTGACTCATTCAAATGGGAGGTTTTCCTCATCCGCCCTATAGTCCTGACCTTGCACCAAGTGATTTTAACTTGTTTCCAAGAATGAAGACCTGGCTAGCAGTGGCGGCTGGTCCATAAGGACTCAGGAACGGAGTTCTCCTTTTTTCAACAAAATAGTAAAAAAAAAATAATAACATACTTAAAAATAATTTGCAATCCTACATTCAATGTACATAAATGTCAGTAGGGTCAATGTTCTTAGGACGGGTAGTAGAGGACGCTATATGTTTTTGCAACAGGTAGTACGCCGGGACGCAGTAGGTATGAGTCCAAACTCCCATATAAACTGCATGGAATATTCGACCAATCACAGCGCTGCATCAGGCTCTAATGCAACAGATATAGGGCGTTTGGGACTCCGTCCAAACAGTAGTTCAAACTAGTGCCACAACAATGCAGCGAGCGATCTCGATCTGTCAACACAATTATTTAGAGATCAGTCAAATAGTGAATACTACTGTAGTTTTGTGAGGTTATGTTTATCGTGCCATGCCGCCGGTATTCTATAGTTGTTAATTAATTAATTAATATACAGTTGTACCTGTACCTCTGTTTCTTTTCGTTATAAGTGTAGTGTAGTAGTGTGTAGTGCGAATTAATGAACAATGAATTCGGTGAAAAACATTTCTACGAAGTATGCCAGTGGCGAGGTGGTAAGTTTTGAACAGAGAGTTGAGTTAAAGCTGCTAGGCCCGCCAAAACCTGATTTAGTTATAACCCAATC